TTTTTTTCTCCTTAAAAAGGGAGTAGGGGAGAGGAATATAACCTAACTGCATTTAAATTCAGTGACCCTTTTTCATTTTATTTAGTTTTAACTTATTTAAGGGGGGAAGTAATTGCTGAAGTGGAAATAATGAGAACTTGGGAGGAAGTAGCCATTCCATCTTTAAGCTTTTGGTAGAGGAGAAGAAAGCTGGGGATAATCTAACAGGCACCCTGAATTTTGAGAGAACAAATTTCTAAAGTTTTAGAGGAAGAAAGTGTAAGATCTCGTGGACTGAAATGCTACAAGAGGGATAGGAAGACCTTATGTATGAATATCAGAAGGTACATAAAGAACTCTGAAAGAAGGGAAAAAGAACCTAAAGAAACCAATGTGGTTACGCTAGAAACTCGCCAACATAAAATTTTAAGAGCTTGTAAGCAAACAAGGGCAAGTCACAGAGGATGAATATAAGTGTGACACTGTCCTGGGGAGTGCTAAAAATTAGAATTAGCTGAAGTTGGTAAGGAAGGTGAAGGATAACCAAAAGGTATTGTTGTCATAGTCTTCATCATCATTTTTAAGGGTGTGGGAAAAATCAAAGAAAAGAGATGGAACCAAGATAACTAATGAAGAAGAAAAAGGCAGAGCTGCTCAACTTTTCCTTAGCTTGTGTTTTCTATGCTGAAGAGAATGATTTTTGGACCAGAAAGGAGAAAACAAAAATGGCTAATAGGGAGTTTGTAGTATACCAAGATACATTAAGAGATAGTAAAAGAACACCTCTGCGTTCTTAATGAGTTCAAGTCACTTGGCCAAGATGAAGTACATTCTTGGGTACTGAATGAAAGGGTAGAGCCTATAATCAAAAAAGTTGGAAGCTCCTAGAGAATGAGAGGATGCATCTTGTTTTGGTTTTTTTTTTTTAAGTTTTATTGTTGCCTTTTTTTTTAGCCCAGTTGTTTACCCTTTCTTAATCAATCAAACCTCTTCTACCTCCATTGAAGCATCCTATTTTATTAAAAAAAAAACCATTTAAAGTAAAGCCAACTGATATAATTATTCTTTCTGACAGCATAGACCATGTTCTACATCTGTGATCCTCCACTTTCCTACTAAGAGGAGAGGTACAATGACCATGATTGGTCATTACATTAAATCAGTGTTCCACTTCATTTTATTGATATCACTTACATTATTGTATATTGCATATTCTGCTAGCTTTGCTTCTGTCCATACTTGTCTTCTCTTGTTTCTCTGCATTTCTCCTACTTTTTTTTTGGTCCAGTGCTGTGATTTCATTGGTATGTGGACGGATGGAAACTCCCTCCATTGATCTATATTGATAGCTCTTCTATAACTTAAAATCTTAGAGAGTTGCCTAAACTCAGTGATATGAAGTGACTTGCTTGTTGTCACCCAGTCAGTATATGTCAAAAGTAGATCTCAAACCCAGACATTCTTAATTCTTTATCTACTTTATCTACTGCATCATATTACTGCATCACATACCATTTACATCACAATAATCAACCACTAGCAAAGGTCTTGATTTTCTCTTGTGTCTATCTTCCTCCCCCCTCTCAAACAAAGACAGGGGTGGGGGAGATAAGTGGGAAAAAAAGAGCTTACAAACTATAAACCAGTGAGCTTGAATTTAATTCCTAGAAAATTAAAGAACTGTATTAAATACATGGTATAATGATGAGAATTTTAAAAGATTCTGATAGGCTAGAGGGAGATTGATAAAATACAAAGAACTTTGGCTCTTTAGTCAGAAGACCTGGGTTCAAATCCTACCTTTAATGTTTACTACCCATGTGTTGTTGTTGTTCAGTCATGTTCTACTTTTAATGCCCCCATTTAGGGTTTTCTTGGCAGAGATACTGGAGTGGTTTGCCATTTTGTTCTCATTTTACAGATGAGGAACTGAGGCAAACAGGGTTAAGTGACTTGCCCAGAGTCACACAGCTAGTATCTGGAGTCAGATTTAAACTAATGAAAATGAGTCTTTCTGATTCCAAGCCCAGTGCTCTATCCACTGTGCCACCTAGCTGCCTACTACCTGTATAACCTTGGGCAAGACATTTAACCTCCCCATGCCTTAGTTTCCTCATCTTTTAAATGAAGGAGTTGGATTAGGTAGGCTCTGAGGTTCCTTATGGCTCCTTATGGCTCATAGATTTCATAGAATCTATGATTCTATGAAAATTCAGTTAAATTTAATAAGATGAAACTTAACTTGCAAGCTTAATTTCAGTCAAAAATGTTATGTATCAGCAAAGATACATCACATTTAAAGAATTTAATTAAATCCATTTATCATTTATTAAGCATCTATCATGTTAGGCATTGGGGAGACAACAAAAACAAAACCCCCAACTTTAAGGAATTTGTGTTCCGTGGAGAGGGGGGAATACCATGTACAATGTAGTATACAATATATGCAGAGTAATTTCTCAGGAGAAGGCATTAGCAACTAGGGGGATCAGGCTAGCCTCCCTGTAGAAGGTGGCACTTGAGCTAAGTTTTAAAAGGATTCTGTGAGGTGAGGGTGAAGAGGGATTGTATTCCAAACATATGCCTGTACAAAGGAACAGACACAGGAGGTGCAGTTTTGTGTATGGGGGATAGGAAATAGGCTAGTTTGACTGGAACATAGGGAGGGTAGTGTGCACTAAGTTTGGAAAGGTAGTCTAGAACCAAATTAAGAAGACCTTTAAAAACCAAACAAAGGAGTTAGTATTGTGTCCTGAAGGCAAGAAGGAGTTGTTGCAGTTTGTTGAGCAGGGTGTAGATTGTAGAGGATTGGAGCGGGGAGAGACTAGAGGCAAGGAGACCAATTATGAGGCTATTGCAGTAGTCCAAAGGAAGGGGACGGGGGCCTGGACTAGGTGTTGGCTGGGTGAGTGGAGAGAAGGGATGTATGTAATATACATATTCGAATTGGCAAGACTTTGCAGCTGATTGATGAGGGAGAGTGAAAGGTTGGAGATGACTCCAAGATTGTGAGCTTGAGTGACTAGAGGGATGGTTAACCCTCCCCCCCCAACAGAAGTTAGGGGAAAAGATAAGTAGTAATGAGTTTAAGAGACTATGAGACATCTAATTTGTGATGTGGGCCTGAGGTATTGATATAAATATGGGAGCTCTCTACATAAGGATGACAGTTGAACTCTTGGGAGCTTATGAGGTCACCAAGAGAGTGTGAAGAGAAGGGAGCTTACAAGTAGGACACGGATGAGACAGAGATGACTAGAGTGGGCATACAGGCAAGAGATCAGTATCAAAAACCCAAGGAAGAAAAGTGGTCAATGGCGTCCAAAACAAGTGTCAATAAGGATAAGGACTGGAAAAAGCCAAATTGGATTCAGCAATTAAGAGATTGTGCTTAACCTTGGAGAGAGCACTTTCAGTTGAGTATCTAGGTCCTAAGCCAAACTACAAGACAGGGAAAGGTTAGTGTGAGGTGGGAAGTACAGGCAACTAGTATAAACAACTTTATCAAGGAATTTGGCTGTGAAAGGGAGAAGGGATGTTGGGTGGTAAATTGAGAGGGTAATAAATTTTCTGAGTGAAGGATTTTTTTTTTAAGGATGAGGAGACAGTCATGTTTGTAAGCAGCAGGAAAGTTGACAGTGAATAAGAAGAAATTTATCCTCCATGGGCATTTGTAATTTTTTTTTTCTGCCTCAATTTCATGGGAAAGAGAGGAAGATTCCTGATTCTAGCCCCAGTGCACCTGTGTTTCCATGTATTTCTACATTTAAATTTAAATGTTTTAACACAAAAAGGTACTGTGTGTCTACTCAGAATCGAGTATATAATGAAGAGTTTATTGAATTTGTTTTTTTACAAAACTACATAAAAATGTTAGCTGTGAAGACTATCTTTTTCTTTCTTTCTTTGCGTGACATAAATGATAGCACTATTCACAGAACAGATATTTTTTCCCTTAGATATATTTATTTCCAGTATATAACATTCCATCTTCCATATCCATTTGTGCCCCAAACCTGGAATGCTTTCCCTCCTCACCTTTGCTTTTTTGGAATCCTTAGCTCTCTTTAGAACTCAGCTCAAATGCCATCCATGATACCTTTCCTGTTTTCCCCATCCCTCACCCTATCCCCAATCCTTTGTACTGACTTAGTATACGTATTATTTCCCTCCATAGATTGTATGCTTCTTGAGGGCAGGGACAGTTTCCTTTCTATCTTGGTATATCATTAATGGCTAGCATAATACCTGGAACATTGCAAATGCTTAATAAAACTTGTTGTATTTTTAAAAATAGTTCTTTATGCATGTTACTTCCATCCTGCTAGTTTTTATATGTTGGTCTATGTAGAGTTTTAATATATTTGGATCAGTCCAGAGTAGGGAAGAGCAGTTAACAAATTTGCTAGTTATCCTTGGTTCCAAGCTAATTATTACAAGTAATAATTCTTGTTAGGCTTTGAGCAGAAGTGCATGCGACAGTTTGGTACTTGGCTTCCTGGTATGAAATTTTAATATATTAAGGGAATCCAAACATAATTTCATTTATTAATGACCTGCAGTTAAGGAATACTTTCTTACCTTAACAGTTGACTTTTTGAAATACAGTTGTCAACAGAAGAGACAGCACTGGTTTTAGAGTCAAAGGATTCAGGTTCTAATCCCGCCTCTAACGTGCTACATGCATGAATTTGGGCAAGTCAGCCTCCCTGGGTCTCAGTTTCCTCATCTGTGAAATGAGTTTGGTGGACTGGATGGCCTCTGGGGTTCCCTCCATCTCTAGCTATTACTTTATGGACTTTCCCTGTTTATGTATTTATCTCTGAGTGCTATTACATGTACACGTACATGTAAATATGGATGGTGAGATTAGGTATCCCTTCTAATGTAGAAGTTTATTCTATATGTATTGCTGTAGGGGCTCTAGTACCTATCATTCCTATAGTACTTTAGTAAAGTTGTTTTTTAAGTTGCTCGAGATTGCATAATTCTAATATTAAGTATTTTAATCCTCTTTGCAGCTATGTCAACTTATCTTTTAGTTATTAAAACTGAACTTCCTGGTGCAATTTCACAATTTCTAACTGGAGACTATAGTGGGTAAGGAAAAATATTTCATTTCCATGTGTACTTTATTTTGATGTTCTAATGAAGTCATAATTTCATTGGTATGGATACTCCTTCTACTGATGAATAACTTCTCCATTCCTTCACATTCTATGCTATTCTTATCTATATTTTTCCATAAATACTCCAGTGCATTGTGTCCAGTGAGCTTCAGGTCTTGTGTAAAATGCTTAATTTTTGCTATATAAATATATATGATACATTAATGAAACTACAATTCCTAATTTAAAATGCTTAACAGTCAATTCATAAGAACCCCAGGATATCATTCATATGAAATCTTTGCATTATGGAACAAAAACTTGGAGAAAGAATAGGACTGAAAGAGAAAGCATATTATCTTTAAATTGTTGTCAAGTTGTTACTTCAAAAATTATAATACAAAAACCTAGCGGGCTTTCAAACTTACATATTTGGTGATCCTGTTTCAGTATACAAACTTTCCCCTAGAATGTAGGCCAACTTTTTCAAATTTGGTTTATAGTTTGTACTTTTTTTTTTATAAAGTTATGCTTAGGCATCTTTAGATATGTAGACATGTATAACATTGTGTATACTTAAAATCAGAATCAAAACCACTGCAAGAAAATGTGCTTGACATAACTAAACTAAAACATCCCAACTTGAACATTGCAGTAACCTGTTTTCATTATTATATGTTACCAACATTGACAACATTTTAGTTTTCATCATAGCTGTATGATGGCTATCATTTTAAGCTGTTTTCAGAAGTTTTAAATTTACTTCAAAATCTTTCTTTAGACAAAACCTTGTGTCTTAGTATATATTGGCTTATGTGTGTCTTACTTAAAAAAAGCTCTTTAATGTAATATTCATTGCATTATGGAAAATAAAGATAGTTCCTTTGAAATCTGGCACTATTCATGTCATCTATTGCTCTCTTGCAGTTTTAAGTGTCAGAAATAAACCAGACAAACTTTATAAAATAATGTACATAGATTTTTGCTTGTCCATTTTGAAGCTCTATAGCCAAACTGAATTTTTAATGTTATTTTAAAGTATGCATATTTTAAAAATAGTCTCAACTTGCAACTCTTTAATGTAAGGTACAGTATTTTAGATTTAAAAGTTTTAAAACCTATTAATTTAATAAATATTCCATTGTAAGGATTCTTTAAAATATAAAAATAAACTACCCAAGCTTCAAAATATAAGAAACAAAACAAAACAGTAAAGAACTAAATTTAGTTGAATGACTTTAACTATATATCTATAGTACTTTTTATCCCCCTAAATACAGTTATATGGCAGCATTTTTCAGCTAGGTCATTATAATGTCTATTTGCTTTCTTTTACAGGTTTAGTTTGCCTTAAACTACAGTTCGCGATGTTTCATATTGTTTTCTAAGTTATTTGTGGAAATTAATGTACTTGTGTTTTCACAAAGTATTTTGGTTTTAATACTTTAATCCTTTCAAAGGCAGTGGAAATAAATTATATACATTTAAAATAATATTCAAATTTGAAAGTTAATCTTCAACAGTCAGATAGCATGCCATTTGATCTTAACTTCTGTTGTTATCTACATTTTTAATGGAATGATTTCAATGTTTTTAAAAGTATACTGTTAAAATATTGTAACTTGGGAGCTCTCTGTTAATGTTTAATGATCCTGTCAGGAGGATATGATTGACACAATTAAGTTGTCTTGCATTTGAGTTACATAATTGATATGGGATGCAAGTAAGATGCTAATTCAGGACATATGATACTCTTGTCCCATTCCATTTGGGAATGATATTAAAGCAACTCATAAATAAATCTGGTTTTCATTTAAAAGAAAAAAGAACATCTGTATGGCAAAGTATTTGCAATACAGCAAAGGATTTATTCTCTATATTTCATACTTGGAACATTTTTATCATATAGGATTAAACCTACAGATCAAATAAGTTTTCTAGAAAGTATAAAACTTTTTCCTAATGCTTTTGCCCCGAAAGCATTCAAATCATAGTATGTTTGGGAAACAGAAGCTTTGTTTAACAACTTCTTTATATTTAGAAAAAAATAATTATAAGGGAATAAATTCTTCTAAAAATCATTTTATTTTGAAAGTGTTTATAGTACAATGGAAAGAGCACTTTCTCTAGGTTTAGAGCACCTCGTTCAAGTCTCACCCTGATGGTTACTTAGCCTATGTGACCTAGAACAAGTCATCAGGTCACACAAGTTAAGACTCAGGATTGGACCTCAGTTTCTTCATCTGTAAAATGAGTACGTTGGATTAGATGACATCTAAGTCCCTTTTCAGTTCTAGAGCTGTAATACAATATGGATTATGACATAGTGGAAAAAGAACTAACCTGAGTTAGAAAGACGTGGGTTCAAGCCTCATTTCTTGCACAAGTCATTTAAACTCTCAGTTCCCCCAGGCAACTCTCTAAGACCATTAAAGGCATAGCAGTTGTCACTCTGCATTGTTAGAAGGAGCTTTCTTACTGGGATTTCCCTATACCAATGAAATCTCAAATTCTTTATAAATCTTTTTTTTTATGGTAAATGCATAAGACATTTTTCTATTTCTTTGAAAATAACCATTGCCTAACACAATTCACTTGACTGTGACATGGGCATGAGACCCAAACTGACTAATATCACTGGGCAATGTATCATTGCCTCTCTTCCTGGGAATAATTGCAAGGAAAAGTCCATAATGTTTATGAACTTCTTTATGATGATTTCTTGATAAGGATAATAAATGATTGCTAAACAAAGATAGGCCATAGAATTAATATCTGAGTTCATTTTCTCTTAGAGATTCATGATATTTTGTACAAATCAATCCTCATAACACCCCTTTGAATTTTGACACACTGAATCAAAACCAAATAAAACAGTGAATTAAAAGACCATAAAGTCTTAAATGAATGGCTTTAGAAAAGTTATCTTTATCATCATCATTTGCTAAACTGAGGTAAATAATAGGTTCATGTTAAAAGTGAAAAGGGTAGGCCCTCTCCTAATCTGTGATTTAGACTTTAGGCAGTTATTGTGTGACCTTATATGGGCATAAAACAAAGGGGGAAGGGAACAAGCACTTATTAAGTGACTGATAGGTGCCAGGCCCTGTGCTAAGTGCTTTACAAATATTATCTCATTTAAGAAGAAAAGTAACTCAGAAATGACTACTTAATATCTTAAAAGAAAAAACTCTTCTAACATGGATTCATATAGCCTTCTTCACCCTACCTTTCTGACAAGGAGGACATGGAAATTGGGCCTTTTTCTCTTAGTACTGGGTCCTGTATTGGTAACTAGATCTTTTATTGAGTCCCAGAAGGAGGTAGATATTTTGGTGGCCTATTTGGGCCTTTATTATGAGAATGATTGAAAGATTTATTGTGTAAGAAAAATTGAAAATTGTTATTGTCACCTTTTATGTTAAAATGTTTTACTTTTTAAAGATATGTCACTGTGTGCATTCCTTCTCACAAGAATGTTACATATAAGTTTAGGCTCTCTGTATCACCAAGAGATGAGCTTCATGCAAATACAAAGAAGTATGCAGTTTGAGGTCCGCTAGAACTAAAAATATTTGGACTTCCAATAATTCAGACATATAACAAGTGCTTAATAAATACCTCTTGATTGATTGCTTTTTTTAGAGTTGTAAATCTAGGTGTAGAGGAGAGCAAGTTAGACAACTGCAGCAATTCTTTCTTTGATACTCTTATCAAAAGAAGAGTATATGTATTAACATTCAAATTTAATCATCAAATAGCATATTGATAAAGAATGTATCAAAAGCAATGCGGCTCTGTACCATTCCCAACCATAGTCACACTGCGTTAGGGAGTTGTGCAGTTTGATTCTCCAGGCTACTGGAGGCATAATGGTTTAAAGCCATATGTGACTTCAACATGTTAATAGCTGAATTTGACTAAGGAGTGGTTTCTAAGAATTTCTTAGAATTTCTAAAGAGTGGTAGTTTTTCTTGATCCTGGTTTAGAAGATATTTTGCATTCTAAGATGACTATAATTTTCATAAAGATAGGGACCATATCTTATTCTTTTCTTTTTGCTTCCCTAAGAGAGTCTTCTGTAAGAGATAATATGTGCTCAGATTGAAGAGAATAGTATTTGAAAACATAATCTCTTTGGGGGATGGCTAGTGCTTTAATTTTGTTTTGTTACTAATACTGAAATGATCTGTGCTCACTCTGATTTGGAAATTCTTTCCAGTGATACAGATTGAAACCCATCCATGCTTATTCATCTTGTTGAAAATCTTATCAATATATTCCAATATCATCCAACCTGTTGGAAGCCTTCCTTCTTTCTCTTAACTTTGTTAGGGACCAGTGGTGTACTCTAGCTGTTCACCTGAGTCATCCTTCACTCTTACCATATAACCAGCCCTTCTTCTCATCTATCATGCAATTCCTTCATGTCACTTTTTATTCTCATTTTCTTTGAAATTTCCTCATTAGTTATATATTGTAGCCTACTTTCATCTACCACACACTTTTCCATTTCATTCTGTGACAGACTGAATTTTAATTCTTCAGAGACTGTTGTATTCCAAGTTCTACTTCCTTAAAGCAAAACTAGTTGAATATTAGTATTAAAAAGATAGGCCTTTGTTTTCATGGAAGGTTTGAAGGTCGTTAAAAGAGTTTTGCAATTTCCCAAAGACAACGTAGCCTACTCTTTATCTCTTATTTAATTTTGGGCCCAACTCATTGTTATCAATTTCTGCTTTCTGTCCCTTATTTACCCTCTCATGATTAAGCTCTATAGGTTGTAGTCTGAGCAATAGATCTACTTGATCATTATTGTGTGGGTGATCAAACCAAATTCCATTGAGTAATTACAGCTTTATTCCAGTAAGTTCTGCAGTATTTGATGTAACCAACAAAATATCATCTGCAAAGAGGGGTATCTAAAAGAACTCGCCATCCATAGAATTCCCTCTATAACTTAGATTTTGTGCTGCATCTCCTTCATCACAGTGGTGAATACCTTTGACAAACATATCTCCCTGTTTTATGCCTCACCTGATATTTATGATCAGAATAAATGAACATGGTTATTTCTTTTTTTTATATCTCTTCAAGGCATATTGGTGATAATGATGAATGAATGAAAGTCACCTTGTTGAAAAAGAACCTGTAAGGTGACTTTTTTCTCTGAGTCAGTTTTTAAAAAATAATCAACAAATAACAAATGCCATGGAATCTTATAATCTATATCTTTAAATCAGTTGTGAAATAGTAAAGATGTAGTCCATTGCAGAATGTCACTTGCAAAAGCCTAGTTGTTCCCTACTAATATCCTCATCAAAGATTCCCTCTATTTCTTTATAGATGACTCTTATAAAGATATTGTATTGGGACAGTAGGCATATAGGTTTGTGCTACAGATAATTCTCTCAATCATCTTTTTTTCTGTATTAATAAAGTGAGATTTTTTTCCCACACTTTTAATATCTTTCTCTCCTTCACATATCACATATCCTCAGCACCTCAGAATTGTGTCACCTTCAGCATAGATCTCTTCCATATTATTGGTCTAATCTGACTGTTTTCTTCTTCTTTGTTCTCTTTACTGACATTTCTATCTCCCCTATATTCTCATCTCATGATTGCAATATTAAGTCCCAAGCATGGTTGTCATGAGGCTCAAATGAAATAATAGATGTAAAGCACTTTACAAACCTTAGGGCTCTATATAAATGCCAGTTATTATTATTATTAGCCTATAGTCACCAAGCCTCCATTCTGATGATATCCTTATTCCCTGAGCTTTTTACTATACTCCTGAAGAGCTCAGGCAGTGTTGATAGAGCAATACAAAGGTGTGCTGGTAAATGTTTAACAACCAGGGATATCTAGAAAAAGAAAAATATGTCTACTCATACTTTTAAATTTAATCTGCATTGTTAACACATCCTTAAGTCTAGACCATTAACAGAATAATAAATCAAGCCCTAATTTGTAGCAGTTACTGATTTCTGAGATGCAAATACCCACATTGACCTTTTAACAGTTCACTCTTGGAGCTGACTCCAGCACACCCCAGGGTTTAGGTATAATGGTTCCACTGTCCTTGTTGGAGAAAAGAGATTGTTAAAAATATTTTTTCATTTTCTGTGTTTCTCATCCTTCCATTTTCATTCTTAAATGCTCTTGTGATGACTTTGCTTAGTTGGGTATCTTGCTAAGTTTTTTACCATCCAAATTCATAATTATACATCATTCTTTTTTCAGAGATTTTTAAAAATAGTTTCTGTTATAACTTGGTGTTGCCTTTGACAGTTCTCTCTGTGTGTTTAACAAGTAAATAAGATGTCAACTGACCAAAAGTACTTTCTAGATTTTTTTAATCTCTTTGTCATAATAATTGATTTGTATTGGTTACACATCCACATAAAATTGTTATGTTATTGTGGATGTCATTTCTATTGCCAGCTTCTCATTTTTAATTGTAAATTGTTTAAATATTTTTTCGAATAACATTTTTTTCAATATTCTCTCTCTCTCTCTCTCTTTTTTTTTTTTTACTAATTATAATTTTAGCACTGGCAAGCTGAAGGCCTGAATGTACTCAAATAGTCGATTCAGGAATGATTCTCATATCAATAACAAGTCTGTTCCTGTAAATCCATTTTGACTTTTGCAGTGCCATTCGATGCTTTCCATGTCCAGTGCTTACCAATGTTTTTTTTTTTTTTTTGGAAAAAAAGTTTTTGTGATATTTAGGTATGAGGTTTCAGTGTAATTTACCACTTTTTTGGGGATTGATTCATGAACCTGAACCATATTTTCCTATACATTTCTCTTCATCTCTACCATTTCTCACCTTTGCATGAAGTGAACAAGTACTAGAGTGAATGTTGATTTAATTTGGAAGTTCAGTACTTTCTTCATAGAATTTATCTGTTTCTTCATAAGTAACTGATTATGGTACATAAGCTGCAAATTATTTTCGGGGTGGTCTTTGAAAATATTTATCATTAAATGAAATACCTGATGACCTGCTATCTCATGAAATAATTTCTTGTTGCCCCTGGATTATGATAAATCCTGCTCCACCAACTCCTTTGTTTGTATCTCCAAAGAGTACTTGTGACCCATCCATTAAGCTGCAACTTGCATCTAGTTTTGTTTATAGCAAGAATGTCAAGAGTGATATGATTGAGACCCCTTAGCATTCAGTCATTGGTCACTGGATACGGATCTTGCATTTATAAGGATCTTGTATTTAGAGTATCAATAGTCAAATTAAAGTTTATAGACAGTCTAAAAACTGTGATTCTTAGCACTTCCAACCTCTTTTCTCAGCACTCTATCACAATCATTGCAGAAGCATATACGGGATATACAAGACTGCAAGCCATTTTGTAATTTTTTTTTTGGTTTTATAGCCAAAAAAAGTTATCACCAAATGGCAGTGAGCCTGTCTACACTTAACTCTGTTGATCCTTGGAAAATAGGCTCAGTCTGTTGCTAGAACCATGTTCTACATCTTTCCAACAAGATAGAATGTGCTGGAGCTTTTGAAAACCCATGGTCACATTCTAGTGCTTTTCTAAAATATAAATCATGAATAAGAAAGTAGAGCCATTTTTTTAAAAGTGTGTTTTTTCCATTGACTGATTATATCAGAATAATATATTTTTTTCCATTCTGGACCCTTGTCTAAAATTAAAGATATATATATTTTTTCCAATAGGTCTTGGTATCTTGATGGAAGACTACTGCTGGTAATTATATGCGTCTGCATTGTTTTCCCCCTTGCACTTCTTCCTAAATTAGGTAAGTCATTTTACAATGGGAGATAATATTTTTTGACCTATTTGATAATAAATTGCCAATGGGCTTAATTTTCACTGGACTGAATATTTTAGCAGGGAGAAGGGAAGACTTTTTAGCTTGAATTTATTATAAATGATTATGCCTACCGCCCTGCCTAGTTACCCTGTTACTTGGGTTGCAGTAGTATTTTGTCTGCCATACTAAAATAAAATCTTTACAGCGGAACATTAAAGAGCAGCCTTTCCTTATAGTGTGCCATTAGTGGTAAGCCAGTTCCAATTCTGCCCTACAAAACTACATAAATGATCTGTGACAGGCAGTTGGAATGTTGTTATTCTGAGCTCTAAGCTCCAGATACCAACCAACTGTAATAGAAAACATACCCGTGACATATAGCTTTAGCTGTACATTAGGATCACTTTCCTTATAAATTGCTTTTTATTTTACTGTTATTTTACAGGCTTTCTTGGCTACACAAGTAGTTTATCATTTTTCTTTAAGGCGTTCTTTGCTTTTGTGGTAAGTTTAAAACATCAGTGGACTGCTTATCTTCCATCTCTAAAATTGGCCTCATTGTTCTTGCTTTTCATTTAGTTCTGTCTTATGCTGAGTGTGCACTCCAGGATGCTTCCTTGTTAATCTCCAAATATCTTTACTTTTTCTATATCCACTTTTATTTTTCCTTAAGTAGAACAGTAAATCTAGTTCTTTTGACTTGACTAAACAAAAGAAGGCAAAGCTAGTATCAGGTCATGAGGAACTTGTCCAACTGCCTAAATTTCTTATTTTCAAATACTCTCAAAAGTCTTAGATAAAATAAGTATATGTGTGTTTTCCTCTCTACTCCAAAGAGAAGTAAGATGTGTGGGAGGATTAAAATAGTTGTCTATAACACTGCCGTCAACAGGACATGAACTGTAAACTTCATTTGGCACAGGTCGTCATAATGCTGTGTGATCAGTGAAACCAGACTTCAGAAACTCTGACCACATGGTTTGACCATGGAACTAGAACTTCTCAATATTTCTGCACTAGTTTGGTTTACTCCTGGCATATAGATAGGTTCTTGGGGGAGTCATTCTCTGAGCTGGTAAATGAAATAGTAGTTTTTGTAGTGTTGTCTCCACTACGAAAAATGAATTTTTTTTTTACTTTTAAAATGCAGTTTTTTCTTAGAGTTTTTAACTAGCTAATTTTTAGAGCAGCTAAAAATGAATTCATTCCAACTAAACTTAAGTCACTTATGTAAGGAAAAACTTGGATGGTTCAGCGTGGCTAAAAACGTATAGACAAAGAAAAACGAAAACTTCTCTTGGGCAACATAAATAAATTTTAATATCTTAGACATTATTACATGCAATTTAGAAAATCCTCCTTTTTTTCTTTGCATATATGTGTTTCATGGCTAGTGTCCAAGTGTTAAGCTTAGTAGGATTTAGTATATAGTAGTTTGCAAGAAAATATATATCTAAATATACTTTTTATAAAGCAAATTTTTTTTCTTTTTATAGCCACTTACCAAAATTCTGTTTTACAAACAAATAAAATGTGGGCATCTTCATAAAAAGTTTTTTTAAAAAAAAAGAAAATAGCATTACAGCAAGACAGCAAAACCTGTCCTAAAGAGTTGTCAGAATAACCCAGTATGTCCAGAATTTATGCCAATATGATCGTGTCATTATTTTGGTGGCTGAAATATAGGATAAAATAGTTTTGCTTAGAAATAGATTCCTGGAGCCAAAGCATTATATGATTATGATTTTTTCAATTTGAAGATTCCTATAAAGCAGTTTTACATTTAATCATTTACATAGCGCTTTTGCACGTTTGTTCCATTTTTCCCCTGTGCCTCTTACTTATCTGTGTGACCTGAGTCAATTCACTTAATGTCTCTGGGCCTCCGTTTTTCATCTGAAACATGAGGGAGTTGGACTGGATGACTTAAGGCTCTTCCAGCTCTAAATCTCTTATCCTATAAGCTACAGATATATTTAAATTAATAAATGCCATTCCTTACAGTGAAAAGATATGTTGGTAATGCCTTTATCCTAATGATTATTATGTCCAGAGTACTTACTTCTGTTTATGTAGGTAGAACCCAATGCATACAGATGTATGTTTGTGGATATTAAAGAATTAATTAGTATTGATGAGAAATCTTTAAAGTTATGCTAGTATGATTTAGTTTTCATAGTTAATAGTTTGAAACAGGTGAAATGTATTGGTAAGATATGCCCACTGTAGTTTTTACAGCATTAATTTCTGTCATGGCAGATATTCTCTAATTTGGTCCAGATTTCTAACTGGAACAGTCATATGGAAGCAATACCCTTATTCTACATTTATAGTAATCTTAGAAACCATCTGTTCAGATTTTTGCTTGTGAGCAAAATTTTAATTTGGTTTGCAATAGGACAGTGAAAAATACACTTAAAAAAGATTTATGTCCTTTATTTGACAAATCCATTTTGATATATTTAAACTTTTGGCTTTAAAATAAATGGTGGATAGGAAAATAAAGGGTACTATTCCAGGTTTTTTTTAGGGGATCAATTTCTCTATATTTTTATGTCAAAACTATATTTAAAATTATTTTTAAATCAATTATATAATAAAATTAGCTTTTCTTAGCCAACACTACACTATAATGCAAATAAAAGCCACTATCTTTACCATGATTATGTCTCCCTTCTCTTTGAACTTTTTTTGTTGATTTTTGTCCTTTTTTTGTGTGTGTGAACCTTTATAAGGTTAAGATTAATTTTACCATGTAATTGCCTCAAAATTCCAGTTTGTGCTAGTCATATAACTGGAAATTTGGCCATCGATCTCGTAGATTAGCATTCTTTTCAAATTTACAAGTTAGTGCATAACTCATTATAAACAACATTTAAGTAAGTTAAAAGTAGGAAAAGAAATAGAAATATAAAATACAAAAGTTTTGTAATCAGTCAACAAGTATTCATCTTCCTTCTATGTGCTCAACATTGAGTTTAAGAGCCACAGGAATACGGAAGTATAGAATTGTTCCCTCTCTTGGAGCTTCAATTCACGAGACATGTGAAACAATCATAGAATAACAAAATCATATAATTAAGTGGTAATGTGTGTAGTATAGACTATAAGTGTGTTGGTAGTTCAGGGGAGAGAAAGATCACTGTGTTGCTTTATAGGGTCAGTGAGAATTGGGCTGAAATTGGAAGTTCGTGTAGGATTTGCATAGATGAAGGAGAGAAGAGGGTATTTTAGGAGAGGTAATAAATAACTTGAGTTATTCTCAATTCTTTATTTTCTGTCTCTGATTTTTTTCTTTTTATCACTTGACCAGGACTATTTTTCCCCATTCTGTTTGATTCATTTTTGTTTTCATCCTCCATAAAACTGCAGATTTCTCTTTCCTTGATTTTTCTGTTCCTAACTTATTTCTGCTCTGAGTCTGTGAACACCAAAATTTTTTGATAATTCACCCTTTTCATTAAAATTTGAGCACGCACTTCTAGTATGTGTATATTTACTTGTTAATAAATTATATTCCTGTACTACTGTACTAGTAATTATATAAATTATAAAAACTCAAAATAGACATTTTAAAAGAATGGAGATAAAAATGAAACAGTATTTGATGCTCGAGTCTGTAGGGAGCTACTGGAATTTGAGTAGGGGCGTGACCATCAGATCTGACCTTTAGGAAAATCACCTTGGTGGTTGTTTGGAGGATGAATTCAAGAAGAGAGATGTGAGGTAGGGAAACCAATTAGGAGGCTTTTGCAATAGTTCAAGTGAGAGGTCATGAAGGCCTGAACTATGGTGATAGCTCTCAGTAGAGACAAAGACAGATGGGAGAGATATAAAGGTAGACATGAAAGATGATTGGATTTGTGGGATGAAAGAGAATGAGAAAACTGAAGATGACACTGAGGTTGTAAACCAGGATGACTAGAAGAGTGATGGTTCACTTGGCAGTATAGGAAAGTTTGGGAGGAGGTTTGGGTTTGGGGTTAAAGGTAACGCCAATCTGTGCCTGCTTATCTTGTGCAACTCACTCTGTGACACCCAAAATAAAAAGGTAGGGAGCCTGGGTTTTACTCACTGTTCATTGCCTCAAATGCAGAACCTTTACCAAGAGCATCTGCCAAAGCCAGAGGTAATCTGGTAAGCAGGAGGTGAATATGCTGGGGAGGTGGGGGAGGGGGGATGGTGAATTTTCCCAATAGCATCTGGTTAGCTGTTTTAATGGGTGCTCAATCAACAGTGGTTAAGTTATAAATGCCATAAAGGGGCCTTTGCCTTGCCCAGAATGAAGGAAGGTAGCTTGAGAGAGTATTGAAGGATAAAGTTAGGTGAGACATCCTTATTTTCTGAAATCTTCCAGTTCTTTTGCCCACCATCCACAACCAACCACCCTGACCTGTTTTAAAAGTTAGAATTAAGACTGTATAATTATTGCTTTTTAATTTTTTCTCCTCTTCCTAAGTCAAATATTGCAGTATCAAAGCAACTTTTTCATATCATTCACTTTTCTCACTTTCTACTTTGTTCTATCAGATCTAAGAGGGTACCTCTTCATTGGTTCATTTTATTCCTAAAGAAGTTAAGTGGGTTTTGCTTGATACTTGTTTTAGCATTGCATTAATCTTTGGTTGGATAGATAAATATCAGATAGAAATACTATTAATTTATTTATTGGCTTCCTGCAAAGCACAGGTCTCTTTTTTATATTCCTTTAGCCTTTTTTACACTGGATATCATCCTGGAGCAACTATTTACAGAGTAGTTATTCCCCCAAATCCAGATACTGCAGTGGTTGTGTTGATACAACCAATAACTATAGGGTAAGAAAAGATTGACTACAATAAAAAAGTATAGTTGTGAAAAATTCTTATTAGACCCTTCTGGGAAAGAATTTGCCTCTGAGTTTTTTTTTCATATTTCTTTTAAAAATATTTTTCTAACTAGGTTTACATAGATCATTCAGAAATGTTTCAGAGACATAACTCCCTTTGGTTTTCGATTCTTATATCTTAGATTTTAATGTTTTCAAGACAAAGAAAATGACCTATGTTCATACCCATATCAACCTGGAGAGGAGAAGCAAACAGTGTTTACTCTTCCCTTATCTTATGATTGTGTGTTCCTGTCCCAAGCAACTGTCTCCACATTCATTCACCAGACATTTCTGAAGTACCCACTATCTGGTCAAGAAGGGATTATGGGCAGAACATCCAGGAAGATGTTTTATCACTTTCATTAAAGACCCTGTCATCCAAATGCTTTTGTTATTTCAACCTTTAAGATTCAATCTATGTCTCTTCCAAGGCTACCTTTAATAATTCTTAATCATTTGTCTTAGAGCAAGCATTGTAATCTGGGGTCCATGAACCTGAATGAGAAAACAATTAGATTTTTATCTTCACCAACCTCTATCTGAAATTTAGCATTTCCTTCAGTTATTTAAAATCATTATTCTGAGAAAAAGTCAAGAGATTTTTTACCAGACTGCCAAAGAGGTCTGTGACACAAAAAAGGTTAAGAAGCCGATTTAGAGGCAAAAGACAGTTCCAACGTCTATGCCTCCAAGGTTATAATGTCCCTCTTCTATTATGCTGCTCTCCTGGTGCAATGCAAGAATTTAGTCTCTGGGAATAGTAACAAGAATTACTAAGCTTAGCTGACCATACAGGTAGTTTCCCATGCAGTCATTACTTGTGTAAGGCCTTATCAAATATGGAGTGCCTCAGCTGGGGAAATGGCCATAGCCTAGGTTCATCAACTATGATTAGTTGGATGGAGAGAACATTCATTAACTGGAATGTCCTTAACTGTATAATTTAATTTAGAGGGAAGTAAGACTAAACATAATCTCTTCCTTAAGGCAAGAGATTGGCTTGCCACTGCTTTGGTTTCTTGTAAGTAATCTGTTTCATCATAAAATTTTGTAAGTACAATCTCGGCATTTACTTTCCTTTCACCTTACAGGTTATAGTGAAAAAATGGTCCATCCCTTGTCCACTGACACCCAGTCATGGAGAGGAATTCTTCCAGGTAATGACTTAATTGTATTGTGAAGACTTGTAATAATTCTCATTTTAATCTGACAAGAAAAGTCATGCTAATAATGCTTTTTTTAATTAGTGAAAAAACTATTACTACTGCCCATTTTTCTCATTGTTTTAAAAAACCTTGATTTAAAAACTGAATGGAAATGATGGTAGGTGGCATCTTGGATATTATGAGGATCAAGTGAACTAAATATATCTAAAACACTATATAGATATAAATAGTGGTTATTAGGAATGTACCAGTTTACTAACTGGCTAACTTTTGGTTTCTCATTTTTCTTCTCCTGTGCTCTTTCACAGATTTCAAATATCACAGAGGAGTGTAAACCAAAGCTTTTTCACTTCTCCAAAGAGGTAAATTAACAGACTTTTCTGATTTAATTTTCACATTTTAACTATAAAAGGTTTATATAGTATTTGTTTTTTAAGGTATTCATACTTATTTTTCATAGGAAATGCAAAATATAGATTAGCCCACCAAAATTATATTTTTAAGTACAGGATGGCACGTCATAAAACAGACACCTTTTTGATGGTATGGTTTTAAATGAGCCCTTGCATAGAACATATTATCAAATTGTTTGGTCTGTACAGTGAATTTTTCGGTGGATGAAGGCATTTTGTAGCTCCATGGACTTGTAAAGCTAACCAGCCTCTTACATCAAAAATTCCTACTTCAAGTAAAACCTTGTCTGTAATAAAACTCAGCCTAACCAGTGGACCATTGACTTAACATATACTGTGGTGAGTTCTGGTAGACATTCAAAAATGAAAAGCTTACTGCTTTCTGGAGTTTAGGATTGAACAATAAATCTGGGATTCCCAGGTCAATCTTTACTCTTTGGGCTTGAGCATGCTTCATGTGTCAGCCTTAAAAGACTGAGAATGCAAAAAGGGTGGACCTGAGTACCAACAGAGGGTGCATGACCTGACCTTTGGCTGGACTGTCCTCTATCCTCTGAAGAGCCCAGGTTTCTTTTTTGACAAAGATAAGGGTACAGCTTCCAGCTGTAAGGGTTCCTGTACATCCCACCATTACTTATACTGTTCAGGGCAAACCTAAGCAAATGACTTCCTTCTATATCATTGGAAGCCCTTTGACCTTCAGCATCTGGAGTCCTGCCTTCAGTTTTGAGGTAGAGAGGAAACTTTGTAGGTAGAAGAACCACGCCATCTAAATCTGGCCTCTTAAAGATAGAATACATTTATGAATCCACAAGTTTTTCTGCATGAGTATTCATTCCTCTAGTGCAGATTGCAGCCTTTATGTAGTAAATAGAAATATAATATGTTGTTATGGTTAAAGAATGGTGTTAAAGAACAAGGAGTTATGTTTTCTGATTCTTTAGTAATTTGTGTCTTAACAGTATAGGAAACTAGACGTCATGCCCAAGTGTACCTTCCTTTCACCCTACTTTAAAAAAAAAAACTTTTTTAAAGGTAATTTCTTAAGCAGTTCTCACATCCAACTATCTCTTCTGTTCTCATATACATTGTGTACAATTTTGGTTTTTAGAAAAATGATGTTTAACCCTCCCAAGCAGACTGAGCACAGTCACTTAGAGAACATTATTAGTGATAGTTAGTGTTGCTTGAGGTTGAATTGAGTTGTTGAAGGAGGCAGTGTAGTACTGTGTGCTAGATTTGGAGTCAGAGGAAGTCCCTGGATTTGAATCCCGCTTTTGCCCTTTAGTACCTAAACGACCGTGGACAAATCACCTAATTTCTCTGGGCCTCACTGTCTTCATGTAAAATAAAAGATTTGGAAGAGATGGCCTCTCTAAGGGTCCCTTTTAACTCTAATTCTATGAGTCTATGAATTCCAGAAAAGTTAACTGGGAGCTAGGCACATTGGAAACATAGCTGTCAGTTATTTGAATGAAAAAGGGTAACTAGTGATGGTGATATATCCATAATCAAGTATATTTGGTATGGGGATGATTTTGTACGTTTCCCTTTAACAGATAGCCAATTATATTATGATACATCTTCTGGCTCTCATAGAGACTGGGCTTCTCATGTGTGACCCCACATTTTGGCTCATTGTTTCCATTACTACTTGTACCTTCTTTGATACCCCTTGACACTTTGGTCTAGGAGGGGAAACTGACTATTCCTTATTCTCCATCGCCATTTAGAGACTTTCCCTTCACCACTGCCATGCAGCAACTTCTAAAGGTTTACTCTGTCCACGTTTGTTACCCAAATCATATCTGAATAGCTGTTACCTACCAGTCCTCAGGTCATTCTCCCTCCTTTTTCAAGGAGTTGTGTACTTGGTTAACAGTTTTCCCCCAAATCCCAAATTCTGCCTTTACACTGGGGAGCTTCAGCACAACATGTTGATGTTCCTCCAAACACTCCCACTTCCCAGTTCCTCAGTCTCCTCAGTTCCATGAACTATTCCTGTTTTCCACTTTACCTGTATTCAGGTCTCACTATCATCCACATGTGTTCAATTTCCATAATTAGGACTCTGAAACTCTTTTATCCCAGTCTCTCCATCTTTCCCTAATTCTATTCTTTGTCCTCCTTGTGACTTCCATTCTCCCCACCCTTCAGTACTTTCCCAGGCTGTCACCCCTGTTCTAGCTTCATTTCTTCCCCTTTCCCAATATTGACCCTTGGTTGACCAGTTCAAATCTATATTATTCTCTATTCATGTATACCCTTCTCCTTTGTCCTGTCGCTGCTTATGTTTTGCTAAATCCTTGCTAGCCACCTTGCTGTCCCAGCCTGAGACCATGCCCTGGAAGACATGACCTTTTAATTTCCTGAATGCTTGCCTTGGAGACCCAAATATCCTGATTGTTGAGTGCCCCAGGAGAGATCCACTGTATCAGGCCTTGCTTCATTTTCTCATTCTTCATTCTTTGTGACCTCACTACAGCCATTAACACTGTTAATCACCCTCTTCTCTTTGATACCTTCTTCTTTCTGGGTTTTAGGACAGCACTCTCTCCTGGTTTTCCTCCTACCTGTCAGACCATTCCTTAGTCTCCTTTGTTGAGCTCTTCATCCAAGTCACACCCTCTAATCATAGCTGTCCTACAGGGCACTGTCCTGGCCCTCTTCTCCCTTTATACCACTTTACTTGGTCATCTCATCAATTCCTCTGGATTTAATTATCATCTCTATCTTGATGATTCTCAAATCTACCTATCCTACCCTAACCTTCCTGCTCACCTCCATTTTTTAATCTCCAATTTTCTTTCAGACATCTTGAACTAGACATCTTAAACTCACAGTGTCCAAAACAAAACTCATTATCTTTACCCCTGAACGCTCTCTCCCTCCAGACTTTTCTGTTACTATCAAGAGCACAATCATCCTCCCAGTCCCTCAGGCTCACAGTCATCCTTGACTGCTCACTATCTCTCACCCCCATATCCAGTCTGTTGCTAAGGCCTTTCGATTTTTAACTTCGAAATATCTCTTGAATACACCCTCCGTCTCTCTTCTGGTACTCCCACCACCTTGGTGCAGGTCCCTATCACTTTACACTTGGACTATTGCAGTAGCCTGCTAGTGGGTCTGCCTGCCTCCCTATTCCATTCTACACTCCATTCAGCTATCAAAGTGATTTTCTAAAATGCAGGTCAGACCATGTTACACCTCCCCCCAGTAGTTTTTAGTTGCTGTCTATCACCTCCAATATAAAATATAAAAGCCTCTGTTTGGCTTCAAAGTCATTCATAACCAAACCCTCCCACCCGTACCTGCTATCTTCCAGTTTTCTTATTGACTTTCCTCCCCGATTTTCTTAGGAGCCACCCAGACTACAGCCTATGCCCTGCAGGCCTTAAACCTTTCATTTTCAGAGCTTCCAACCTAGAGCCCATCTGTCCTTGTTGGTAAATGCCTCCTATATAGCCTACTATACCAGACCATCTAGCCTTAGAATTAGAATTAGGGAATTAGGGTTTCTCAACGGGGCCCTCATTGCATTCCCAGTCATCCTTTCTCTCTAGTTTTCACTCTCTCCATATCTGAGACTTCCTTTCATACTGCCTATAAACACACCTCTCTCCCCTCCCTGAAGGGGGGGGGGAACCTCACTAGACCCTGTCTTTCATTCAAGCTATTAGTATGCCATTTTTCTTCCCTTTTTCTGTCAGAATCCTTGAAAAAGCTCTCTATAATTATAATAACTCTATAATCATCTCTTTTTCCTCTTTTCTAATCCTTCTACAATCTGGCTTCTTACCTTATTACTTTATAGCCCCTCATTGAAAATTCCCTTTCCGAAGTCACGAGTGGTCTCTTAATTATCTAATGGAATTTTCTCAATCCTTAGCCTCCTTGACCTCTCTTCTACATTTGATACTGTTAACCACCTGTTTAACCTCCTCTATGTGTCTTCATGTCCCTGCTTTCTCTTGGTTCTCCTACCTGCCTTAAATGTTCCTTTGCTAAATGTTCCATATCATGAAATCCATATCATGCCCCTTACCTGTGAGTGTACCCCTGGCTCTGTCTTGGGTCCTCTTTTCTTGGCTCTCTATATTCCTTTTCTTGGTAACCTCTTAAATTCACGTGGGTTTTCTTAATATCTCTACATTGTTGACTCCCTTATCTATAGTTGCAGCTCTGGTCTTTTTCCTGAGTTCCAGTCCAGCGGCACAAACTGCCTCTTGAACATTTCCAACTCAATGCCCTTTAGATGTCTTAAATTCAGGGTGCCCAAACACAACTTATTATCTTTCTCTCTAAACCCACCCATTGAAAGCATAACTATTTTTTAAGTCACCCAGGTTCACAACCTCAGTGCCATCCTTTACTTCTCATTCTCACTCACCCAATAGATCCACTCAATTGCTGATTCTTGCCTGTTCTATCTCCACACAGTCTCTTCCATGCAACTCTGTCTCTCTGTTCCCACAGCCATCACTTTAGGTTAGGCCCTCATCACCTCTCATCCAGATTATTGCAATGGGCCACCTAATTGGTCTCCCTGCTTCAGGTCATTCCCATCTCTAATCCATCCTTCATAGCTGCCAAACTAATTTCCCCAAAGTTTAGGTCTTAGTCTCACTTCCCTACTCAGTAAACTCTGATAGCTACCTGTTACATTAGTGCAAACAAGGACTCCTATGAATAGATGTATTTGAATTTGTGCTTATAATTATATAAAATATGGTCATTGGCTCCAACCAAGTGGAAAGAAATGTAGTGTGAATTTGAATAATGCTTCATGGGTTTTGTTATTCACACTAATCGCAACTTGGCCGTGCTTCCAGAGTCAAACATAAACTCTTCGGTTTGTTACTTAAAGTCCTTCTTACCTTGGCCCTAACCTACCTTTCCGTCCTTATGGCCTGTTATTCTCCTCCATGCTCACTGAAGTTCAGCCAGACCGGCCTCGTGGCATAGCCCTTCATTTATGCCTTTGTGCTGATCTAAGAATCTAACTCCCACCTCACTTCCATCTCTCAGGATCCCTTCAAGTCTCAGTTCGAGTGCCATCTTTTACATGAAGGCTTTCCTTTGTACATAATTATAAATATCCAATGTGCTCTTCCCCAACTAAACTGTAATGTACTTAAGAGCAGAGACTATTTTCACTTTGTCTTTGTATCCTGAGCACTTGGCACATAGTAGATGCTTAATAAATGCTTGTTGATTGATTATTCTAATGGTTACATGTATTAACTAAAAAAACCAGTAGCTCACAGTAAGAGAAGGTTCCTTGATGGCATTAGGGTGACAGGAGAAACCAGCCAAAGAATAAAACATTTTCTATAGATTTTGAAATTGACCATAACTATTTAGAGGGAAGCTTGGAGGGGAGAGGGAGAATGTTTGTAGAGTGGTAGAGTCCCAAAATAACTGTGATATAAAAGTAAGAGGCACCAGTAAGGCTTATTAAATAACTATAAATACATCCATAACTGCCCCTTGCATTATGGGAATAATTTTCTTTTGAATAATGTAGCAGCTTAACGAAGAATACTGAGTTCTACCGGATTCCTTACGTTGGAAAACATGAGTTGAATGTCAAATTTAGCGGTAGCTTTTTTCAGCAGGAAACTATCTAACAATTTCACTTTTTTAAAAATTTTTCAGAGTGCTTATGCCATTCCAACTATGGCATTTTCATTTCTCTGCCATACTTCAATATTGCCCATATACTGTGAGCTTCGAAGGTAATGTATACGAATCTTAGATTATCTTAAGTGAAATAAAAAGGCCTTCGACATTATGAGGCTTTTCTGAGTCAGTTCCATCCTTCCCTCATGGTTCCCTGTGTTAGATTCTGGTGGGTTTCCTGGACAACAGTACAAAAACTCAGTGGAGTCCTTATGGAGAATGTCACATGATAAAAAATCCTCTCATGTCACATCTTTCTGTTGTAATTGCTGGTGTAAAGTTGCTGATGGACTCAACTTTGTATAGCTGAGGAGCACCATGACCTAGAGTGTGCAGACTCTTTGATCTCTTGTCCAGACCTCGTCCAGCTTGTGGTTCTTGTCTTGTCCAATTTTGTGGTTTTATTTTGGTTCTATTTTTGTCTTTTAGACCTTCTAAGAGCCGAATGCAGAATGTAACCAACACAGGCGTTGCTTTAAGTTTTCTCATTTATTTTATATCAGCATTATTTGGGTACCTCACTTTTTATGGTAAGTATTTACTTTTACATAAGTAAGAGATAAATGCAACTTATTTTTCTTGCATTATTAGTGAGCTTTATTGTATACTTGGAGTTCAGGTCCATCCTTTGTTAGGAGATTTAACTCTTTCAGAAAGCCACTTGAATAAAATTGAGTCATCCTAAGGATGTGAACGAATTGATTTATTGCCTTTTAAAAGTGAGGAATCAGAAACAGTGTGATTTATCATTTCACAGGAGATTTTTGTTTAAAAACTTAACTGCAGGTCTGTGTACCTACTTCAGTATCTTTCTGCCAGATAATTTAATAGGGAACTTCAGATTACTGATACTTTTTAAAAAGCATAAATATAGTTAGTAAATTAATTAACTTTATATATGTTGCCAGAAAAAAAAAATCTTGTCCTTCCAGGTAGATGGGAACAAGTGAAGTGGAATATCTTATTGAAAGCTCATTGAGGGCAGAGATTGTTTTTTGACTTTTTTTTATCCTCAGTGCTCAGCACAGTGTCTGGCACGTAGTAGGTGCTTATTAATGTTTATTGATTGATTATAGTGATAATTGTAATAATAATCATAGTTTACATTTATATAGCATATTATAGTTATAAAACACATTATATGCACTGTCTCCTTTCACCTTCATAAAAGCCTTATGAGATAGGTAGTGTAAACTTATTCCCATTTTAAAGATGAGGAAAACAAAGCTGAGAGTGATTAAATGACTTGCCTGTGGTCACTGAAGTGGTAGGTTATGAAGCCAGGCCTAGAATTCTCTGGACTCGGAATCCAGTCAGTGCTTTTTCCATTGTAGTTATGTTAGGTATAACGGAGAAGGAAGAGGATTAAGGAGGAAAACTATGTGTATGCCCCAGGGTCCAAATGCCCTTTAGTCAAGGTTCCATTTTGAAGCAAATTCTTAGGTGTTTCTGGCTTATTTAGACTTTGCCTAAACTTTGTAGGTTTTAAAAAATTCTCTCTTAACATCATTAGTCATGAGTCTAGAAGATTTTAATGCTTGTAAGTGACATATTTCCCCTGCAGAGATTTACCTAATTATCAAATATCTTTTCCTTCTTGGATCTTCCTAGACATCAGTTCCTTGTCCACAATTGCAGATTTTTTAGAAGACTCAAATTTCCTCAGGTGGAGAAATAAAAACTTTAAGGAAAATTATATCCTAAATAGTTTTTTGGGCTGCATGGTTTTATTTTGGTTTTGCACACACAAACTAATTCCTTCCCTAAAGGCAGAGTCATGATGGAGATGGTGATATGCAATTCAGAACAGATCTCTTTTGGCATTTAATTACAGTGCAAGAAGGAACCTTCATATCACCTTTCTGCCAAGATGACTACAGATGGCAATCTCATGTAATACAGCGTGTACTTGAAGGAAAGAGCTTGTTAAGAATTTTGGTCCAAAGTTAAAGCCTTCCAAAGGTCAAAAGTCAAGTATTGAGTCCCACTTTATAAACTTTTTACTCTGTCTGGCAACCTGCTCTGATTATGACACTGTCTTAACTAAGGTCATATATACTTTGCAAAGGTTACCTTATAATATTTGTAGAGATTTGTCTGGATCCATACAAGCTTATTTTACCATATTGGTTACATGTGTTCTGGCTCAACTAAGAACACAGAGCTAACCAACTAGCCCTTACAGCAAATCTGGATCCTGAGAGGATGGAAAGTAGACTTGGAACAATTTGAGTTTAAATTAGAATTGATTCCTCAGACTTCTGGCCTTATCACAATATATGTGAGGCAGTGTCTTCTATCCAAGCATTCAAAAGCTGATTTTATCCAAATTGGGTTACAGGAAAAGCCTTCACCTATTAGCCCTAGGTTAATAATCTTGGTTTTTATCATAGAAAATGTAATGAGAGCTTGGCATTACCTGGTAAGAAGGAGAAATCATGTTCCCCTGATAAGCAAAACTACTGCCTTAAATATGCACAATAATTATTCTTTTTAAAACCCCATGAGGTTGATTAGCAACAGGTGTTAATAGTTACACTGTAGTTCATAAGATGGAAACAGGTTGGTCCTTCATATTTTCCTATTAAAGAAGTAATAATCCCACTGTATTCTGCCCTGATCAGATCTCATCTGTTTGGTTCTGGCCACCACATTTTATAAAGAACATTGATACTCTGGAGAGTATCCAAAGGAGAACTACGTGGTGAAAGGCCTCAAGATCATATTATGATCTTAGAAGATTGGTGACAGAATAGAGGCTATTTACAGGAGTAGAAAGGCTTACAAAGACATGATATCCATCTTCAAATATTTGATTAGACTTATTCTACTTGTTCCAGAGAGTAGAATTAGCAAAATCAGACTTGTTTTAAGGAAAAATTTTGTAACATCTAGAGAGCTATCCAAAAGTGGAATGAGCTGCCATCAGAAGTCATCATCTTACAGTCTGAAGAGACTTCAAAGGTCATCTAATCTAACTCATTTTTCAACAAGATTCTCTTTTACAATAAACATGACAACTGCGTCTTCCCATATTTGCTTGGAGACCTCTAGTAAGGGAAAACCCACTACCTCCTGAGGCAGCCTATTCCAGTTTTGTATGGATGGAGTGAGTTGGAGTCAGGTCAGGTCAAGTTAAGTAAGCAAGCATTTATTAAACATTAAGTTCTATGCTAAGTCAGATTGATGGCCTTTGAGTTCTCTTCCAACTGTGAGACTCTATAATTCATAAATATCAAGAATTTGGGAATAGAAGCTAGATTTGTTGTCTTCTGCTCTTCCTAAGTTTGGTTTACTAGACGATGCTACCTTCACACAGTCTAGAAAGCATTTTTTAGACAACTAATTTCCAAACGGAATTCAATGCTATAAACATTTACTAAGTGCATACTATGATAAAAACACTGTAGTCCCTGCCTTCAAGGAGCTTACAAGCATACAAAGTCGTGAAACTTCCATTTTGGCATTGATAAATATTTATGCTGTCCCTCACAAGTATCCCTTTCCATTCAAAATGCCAGCATCCTGATTTAGGCCATCATTACTTCTCACCTAGACAATTGTAATAGCCTCCTAACTGGTCTTCCTGACTGTATTGTCTCTCAGATCCAAATCTTCCTAAAGGGTGGCTCTCATCATGCTCAAAAACCTTCAGTAGCTTACAATTGCTTACTAGAGGAAATAAATTCAATAAAAGTTTATTAAATTCCTAGTGTGTTCAGATTATTGTGCTCTATCCTTAGGGAAACACAAATTTTATATAAGATGATCTCTGCCACATAAGCCTGGCACTCAAGACTATAAACAAACACCACCCTACTTTTTAAGCCTTATTTCCATTTGCTTCCTTTCATGTACTCAGAATTCCAGCTATAGTGGACTCCTCAGTCTCTCTACATAACCATTCACTTTCCTGCTTGATAGTGAGATAATATTTGTAAAGTGCTTAGCACAGTGCCTGACCTATAGTATACTGTATAAATGTGGATTCTCTCCCCGTACTCCCTTCCAGGCTTTGTGTCTTTGTTTATATTTTCCCCTCCCCCTTGGAATTACCCTCTTCTCTTTTCCCCACTATTCGTCTGTTAAAATTTCCTTTAAGGTCCAACTTAAATGCTACTTCCCAGGTATTTTTCATGATCTTCCTGCCCCTCCTCAACCCCAATTCCTATTAGAAATAATCTTTCTTTTCTAAAAGTTCTAATTACACTTTACTTTTTCTTCTTATTTCGCATAAAGCTTTCTCTCTTTATTGTCATTATTAGTATAAATATTATCTCTTCTACTGGATAGTAAGCTCCTTAAGAATAGGAGCTACACATTATTCAACCATGTATCCCCATAGGGCCAGACAGATAGAGGGCACTCAGTAAATGTTTGTTGAATATACCTTTTTGCCTTTACTAGTTTTCTCAAATAAGAGTAGAGTATAGTTCCAACTTGAGTCAAAATTGATCTTTTCCTGTAGTCTATATGTACTACTTTCTTAAACACCTTCACTTTTTAGATCTCATCATTGGAAAATAGCCACATGTACTATATAGAATTTGTGTTTACCTCCTGGCTCTGCTTCCTTATGTCACTAGATAATTAATTTTCCATGTGCCCCATTTTCTGCTTTGGGTGTCAATAATTACACTACTTGGTGCCGTTTGAGCTAACAGGTAAGGTAAAAATAAGCAAAGCAGCATTTGAAGTGCTCTATAAGATCCTGGAAAGAAAAATTCTATATTTTTATTCCTTTTCTTAACTTTAGAGGTTGTATATGTGCTTGTTTATGTTTGGGTGACCAACATGTGAAGGGGAGGAAAAGGTGTTTCCCTGTTTCCCAAGGTAAAGATAAGCCTGCATTTTGAATTGTTTTAGAAAGTCTTGCAAACACCAGTTCATGGAAAAGAAAATATTGTGCCGTTCTTGACATCTTAGCGATTTGTAACAGGACTTTATTTTGTTATTTGCAGAAAAAGTGGAGTCTGAAATACTGCAGGGTTATAGCGTATACTTGCCGCATGATGTTGTTGTCATGGCTGTGAAGTTATGCATCCTGTTTGCTGTGCTCTTGACAGTCCCTCTAATCCATTTCCCTGTAAGTACTGTTAAAGGTCTTGTTGCTTGTTGTAGTCGTTTCCCTAATATGGCAATGCTAATTCTTTGCAGACTAGAACATTTGAGTCAAGTCTAGTCTTGTGTATCTTATTCATTTGTCAAGTGATTGATCAAAGACCTCATACTGCATATGGCTTCATGAAAGGACAAAAATAACAGTGAACCACTAAGCTAATTTGTGCTTTTTTAGATTAAGTTTAGATTTAAGCTATCCCACAGCATTGTTTCCAATTTGGAGAATGTAGTACTTCTGAAGTTTTGGGGAAAGGTTGAATTTTTTTTTTCTCCTATTCTGTATTGTGTTTTCAAAAGAATATATACAAAAAGATGAAAATTCAAGTCAGCAAAATTAAGTGCTTACTGATTTATTGTAACTTTGTTTTCACAGAGAAAGTTTAGTTTAATCTTAGCCAAAATAAAGCATTGACTTTGCAGTTGTTAAGATTTGAGGGCAAAAAAAAAAGAAAGAAAAGATTTGAGGGCAGAATGAATGAATGAGAAAATGGATGAAAAAAAAATAAAGTATTATTGTACATAAGAATTCTGATAATTACTATGTCTCTAGGGAAAAAGTATTCAAATATTGTTATATGTGTCTTTTCTATCCATTTAGATTATAAATTCCTCAAGGGCTTTTGTCTTCTTATTGATTTGCTTCTAACACAGTGCTTGGTATAATTAGTAAGTTCATTTGAAAGAACAAAGGCTGCTACAGCTAGAATAATGAGAGTTGTCTTAAGCAATATAAAATATGTCCTTCATTGAAATTTTTTTATGTTTTAGAACCTTTATTCTTCTGCCCATAGACTTTAAGGACTAATTGATAACCATTATTGCATGTTGTTCAGTCATTTTTCAGTTGTGTCTGACTCTCTGACTCTTTTGGGATTTTCTTGGCAAAGATACTGGAGTGGTTTGCCATTTCCTTTTCTAGCTCATTTTACAGATGAGGAAACTGAGGCAAACAGGGTTAAATGACTTGGCTAGGTGTCTAAGGCCAGATTTGAACTCAGGCAGATGGTTTTGTGATTTCAGGCCCAGCACTCTATCCACTGTACACCTAGCTGCCTCTCACCATTACCTAGTAGTCTCAGTAATTTTTTTATCTCAGCTAGACTGGTCCTCAGATAGTAGGCATGCCCTTGATCTCTGGGCTCAAACTTGTAGCTTTTCTAGCCTAGAACCTCTAATAGCTGTGCTTTGCATAGCACTCAGAAATATAAATCATATCTCTTAGGATGAAATACCATAGCAGGACTTCCATGTCAGACAGATTAGTGGTGGTAATCAAACAAATTAAGGAAAATATGTGTGTGAAAGTTTTCACATTTTTCATAATTTTTTACTGAGTAAGGTGCAATGCAAATTCAGTGCAACAAATATTTATTAAGTATTTACCACATATAGTGCACTGTTTGATAAGCCCAGGGCAGGGACATAGAGAGATGAATAAGATGGAGTTCCTGCTCACAAAGAGCTTACCACCTAGTAGGACAGATGGTAAGTACATAAATAATTATTATACATAATACAATATGATAAATGCATTAGAACAAATGCCAGATCCTAAGAAAGGAAGATAATATTTGAGAATAAAACTTAAATTTTATGAGTGTTTTCAAAAGCTTCATGATAAAAGCAGTGTGTAGAAAGAACTTTTTAGAAAATAGACATTTTGTGAGAAGACTATAAAGACAGATTTAAAACAAGTCAAAGCAAGTATTTCCCTAATGATACCTTCTTTTCTTAAACTGGTTTCTTTTTCCTTTATACAGGCAAGGAAAGCAATAATAATGGCATTTTTTCCTAATCGCCCATTCTCGTGGATTCGTCATTTTTTGGTCACTTTAGCACTCAATATTATCATTGTTTTACTTGCACTGTATGTTCCTGACATTAGAAATATATTTGGTATAGTTGGTAAGTTATCTGTTCCCAAAGTTCCACATAATAAGTTGGCTCTCTTAGTTTCATATTCTGATCCTACTGACATCATTTTGTTTGTTTTCTCCCTTAAAGGTGCCAGTACCTCAACATGTTTGATTTTTGTGTTCCCAGGATTATTTTATCTTAAACTCAGTAGAGAGGATTTTATATCACAGAAGAAGCTTGGGGTATGTTTTTTAAGTGTATATTTCTTTCATGAACACTGTTTTAGGAAACTTTTTGTCATTTTATATTATGCATTTTCAAAAGAGGCTGTTTATCAATCAAAAAGCATTTATTAAGTATCTAATATATGCCAGGCACTATGTTTTTGTACAGGGGTTGCAAATTTAAAAATGAAATGTTACCTGCCATCCAAGAGATTATATTCTATTTGAGGGAATCAACATGGACATATATATGTAACTGATAAAGAAATACAAAATAATTGAGGTAGAAGGGAGGCACTAGCTGATGGGAGGATCACATAAAACTTCATGTAGAAGATAGTACTTCAGCTGGACTTTGAAGGAAGCTGAAGATTCCCAGGAGTGGAAGGACTTCACTTAAGATATGGTGACAGCCTCTAGAAGGACCCAGAGATGGGAAAGAGTGTCATGTATGAGTAACAGCAAAAATGGATAATTAAGTGGGAAAGGTAGATAGACTAAGAAAGATAGACTAGGGCCAAATTTCTAAGAGATTTGAATGCCACAGAAGTTGGAATTTGATTCTAAAGGTGATAGAGGACTTCTGGGTCACGTGAGCAAGATAGCAGACTAGACATTTTCTCCAATCCCTACAACCTCTGACCTTTCCAAAACAGAAATTATGTGCCAAAGATAAAGCAACTTCAGCTATTTCCATGGCCTGTGACATCCAGAATACAAAAGAAGCTTAGGAAAAAAACCCAAACTCAGGAACTGGCACCGACCTTGAGCACCCTGCCACCTCCTTCCACACTACTGGCATTGAGGCCATACTAGCAGACCCAATGACACAACACAGGCTTGTTCACCCTATTCCTTGCTCCCCCTTCCTTTTTCCATGTTGTAGAGGTCCTGACTCCAGGCTGCAGAAGTTTGTTCTTTCCTCAGTAGCCAGCTTGGTCATAGCCCTTCAGGAACAACTGCCTGCGAGGAGCTGCAACCCAGAAGCACCAACGCTGCAAAGTTCTGAATTGCCAGTGCCAAGAAAAGTAGGCTTTGAACTGACGGGGCCATGTTAGAGAACCAAGGGACAGAAGGAACAGGGCACGTCCCCTAGACAGAACACTCTACACATGAGGAGCTATGCAGCTTAAGCCTGAGGGAAAGAGTGCAGTTCAGCTGGGGCCACTTCTGACCACTCTAAAGTAAATTGGGGCAGAGACCTACATTGGTGAACTGTGAATTGCCCAGTGTGGGAGGAGGCTGAGACTCTTTGAGATCCAGCCCCCAAGGAAGCTATAATCAGAGGGGACAGAATCAGGAAGAACGTAATTAGGAATTAGGAAGAGGGGTGAACAGAGAAGAGACTGAAAGTACCAAAGATTTCAGGAAGAAGAAATATCAAAGACCTTGAACATAAGCAGATAAATCAATAGGAAAAACAGTAACAGAAGGAAATATGGCTTCCAGCTCTAGTAAATGAGTTCAGGCATCTATGAATGAATACTGAAAAATGAAAGAAAATGATCCAACACTTGATGAGACAGAGGGCCCTTTGGAATTTGAGGAGAACATGGAATCATAACACGCTGTTACTAAGTGGTTTAAAAACAAATAAGAATTATGAGAGCAGAATTTATGTACTACACAGCAAAAATAATCAGTAGAATAGAAAAACTTTAATCTGGAATGGCAAGCCTCACCAAAGAAATAAAAGAGAGAACAACAGATTGGGAATTCAAATACATAGAAGTGAAGGGCCCTAGAAGAAGAGGAGCAAAAAACAAAAACATTAAAATATGCTCACTATGCAAGCAAAACATTCTGATGTTGAAGTTAGAATGGGCAGAGACAACCTAAGGATCATAGGTCTCCCAGAAGAACTTTAGAGGACAAAAAACCCTAACATCATAATGAAATAAATAATAGTAGAGAACTGCCCAGAATTTCTGAAAGTAGAAAATGAAATCCCAATTGAAAGAATTCATAGATCACAAAAAAACCCAAGACTGCAAACCCCAAGACACATAGTGGTTAAATTTAATAATTCAACTGAGAAACAAGTTCAGCAAGCCATCAGGAGAAAAACCTTCAAATACAGAGGAAAGGATATTTGAATAACACAAGATTATTCTGCACTCACTAATAAAAGGAGGAGGGAATGGAATATTGCATTCCAAAGAGCATTGGCACTCAGAATGCAATGCATAGTGACCTGTCCTGTAAATCTAACCTTAACCATAGGACAAAAGATGGATGCCTAACAATAAAGAGCTTGAAACATTTTTAGAGAGAAAATCAGAATTGAAGATACTATTTGCTTCTTAAACACCCCAAACAAGAAAATTGCAAGAGAGGTGAATAAATGCAGAACCAGTAAGAAATTTCTTTCTAAAGATATACAAGGGGACAGGGATGAAGGTGGAAAACTGAGAGAGGTCACTAACAGTGAAGAGGCAGACAGGGAGCATTATGGACAGAACCTGCCTACAGGTGAATGCTTCTGTGGAACTACTTTACAACATGGAAAGATACATGAAAGAGGGGGAAGGGAGGAGGAGAATAGAGAGAAGTGAGTGATGTGCTAGCGTTACATCAAAGGCTAGCAATGAGGGGGAAAGTGACTTCTGATCTTGGAAGAAGAAGATAGTACAAAAGAGTAGGTGAGGAGGAGGGGGGAAACACTGAAAAAGGGTAGAAAAGGAGGCATTTGGAGGTGGGAGTGGGTTCCACTGATGAATACTGCTATGAGTGAAGAGAGATGAAGACCTTGCACTGGATGATGTCTAGGGTGTTTGGTGTCTGAAAAATCTACTTGTCCTGCAAGAAGGGAGGTAGAACCCCTGGGGACAACTGGCATCTGGAGGAATAGAAGAGCTTGGACACAGGGAGGAAATTTCCAGGCAAGTGCAGTGGAGGGAAGGTCATGAGGTATACCAAGAGGGGAAGGGTGCTACCTTGGGGCAGTGTCCTCCCTGACACCTGCAATAATTGGTGAGAGTGAGGCATAATGGAAAAGGGGAATCCATAGGATAATCAAGCCTGACAGAAAGCACCTAGAGAGCAGAGCCTAGACTGGGTACCTTAGAAGCTTTGACCATATAAAGACTACAGAAGCAAGAAACCATGAATCAGAGGGTGTGAGTCTAGAGTAAACAGAAAGAGAAAATGGATAATGAAGAGAATAAGAGAAATCCTTTTTAGAAAGGGGCACAAAAATGAAATTTAAAAAACTAGTACATAAGACTAGCAGAAAGGGAGGAGAGGAAAGGGCAGTATATATGATTGAGCAGAAAAAAAGAAGGAGAAGAAATACATAACCAGATAAAAGTAGGAGAGAGGAACAAATTAAACCCTAAAGGGAAAGAGTAATAAATAAGAAAAGGCGATAGAGGAGGAGAAAAGAGCCAGTGGGAACAAGACTACTTTAAAAAAAAATAGCCGAAGGAACATAATGCTGTGTTTAGAGCAGAAGAGAAGGAAAATCATTAAAAAAAAACTTTAGAGACAAAATACAAAATATAAACTCTTAGAACTTTAAATGTGAATGGATTAAACAATTCAATAAAACAAAAAAGAGTGACAAGTTGGATAACGAAAACAAAACATCCAAAACCACATGATCATCTTATTAGATGCAGAAAAAGTCTTTGAGAAAGTACAACACTTTTATGCTAAAGACACTACAAAGTATAGGCATAGAGACATTTTTTTTTTAAAAGAAAACTATCATGAAAAGCACTTATCTAAAACCAAAAGCAAACATCATGTGCAATACAAATACACTAGAACCTTTTCCAGTAGATACAGGCGTGAAGCAAGGATACTCTCCCCACTATTATTTGATAAGAGTTCTAGAAACAATGACAGGAGAAAGAAATTAAAGAAATAAAGATAGGTAAAGAGGAGGTAAAACTATCTCTGTTTGCTGACGTTATGATAGTTTACTTGGAAAACCCCAGGGAATCAATAAAGTTACTGAGAATAGTTTCAGCAAAGTTACAGGCTACAAAATAAATCCTTAAAAATCAATAACATTTCTGTGATAATAACAAAACAAGAAGCAATAATATGAAGGGAAATCCCATTCCAAATAACTTCAAAATACATAAAATATGAGATCAACCTCCCAAAATACACAAAAGACTTGTAGAGATTCAATTACAAAGTGCTCTTTAAATAACCTACATATTTAACTGGAGGAATATTCAGTGCTCATGGGTAGGCCATGCCAATATAATAAAATTGACAATACTACCATAATTAATTTATGCTTTCAGTGCTATAGAGGGCCTGCACAACGTACGACTTGGGAGGCACTGGCAACCTGCCAAAGAATTTGAGGTATAGTTGCCACTGCACACTCTCCTGCTTGTCACATGACTCTTGGCAACCAACCATCATCAGTCTATCTCTAGTCTAACCTGTCTTCAGCCCTAATAAGTTTATAAGTTGTGCGGGTCTGTGCTACACCAATCAACCAAGGCCCTTTACAGAACTTCATGAAATAATAACAAAATTCATTTGGGAAAACAGACCATCTAGAATATCAAGGGAAATTAGTAAAAGAAGTAAAGATGAAGTACATCTAGACTTCAAACTATATTATAAAACAGCAGTCATCAAAACTATCTGGTACTGATTAAAGAAGAAATAGATCAATGGAACAGACTAGACAAGGAAGATTCAGAAATAATAGAACTTAATAACCCCATGTTTGGTAAAATGGAAAACATAAGTTAATTGTTAATCAGTTGTTTCAGTCATGTCCAACTCTTCATGACCCCATTTGGGGTTTTCTTGGCAAGATACTGGAGTGGTTCACCATTTTCTTCCCCAGCTCATTTTACAGATGAGGACCCTGAAGCAAACAAGATTAAGTGACTTGTCCAAGGTCACACTGCTAGTGTCTGAGGCCAGTTCTGAACTCAGGAAAATAAGTCTTCCTGGCTTTAGGCCTGGTACTCTATCCCCTGCGCCACTTAGCTACCTGAAAACATAAGTTACCTGGGGAAAAAAGTCCCTATTTGACAAAGACTTCTGGGTTAACTGGAAAGCAGTCTAGCAAGAAATTAGGCTTAGACTAATACCTTACACAACACACCATAATAAACTTCTAAATGGATCCGTGACCTTGACATAAAAGGTCATATTATTAAAAAATTAGAAGCAAACAGATCATATACATCTCATAGCTCTGGATAAGAGATGCATTCTTAACCAAACAAGAGTTAGAGGTAATTACAAAAAATAAAATATATTTCTTTGATTACTTGGGACTGAAAAGCTTCTGCACAGATATTAATGCATCTAGGATAAGAAGGGAAATGTTTGAATGGGGGGAAAAATCTTTGTATCACATTTTTCTGATAAGAGTTTAGTATCCAAGATATGTAAACAATTAATATAGACAAATATAGTCATTTCATAATAGATAAGTGGTCAAAGGATATGAACAAATAGTTCTCAAAAGAACTACAGAGTGTTCACAAACACATGAAAAAATGCTCCAGATCACTAATAATAAGAGAAATATAAATCAAAACAACTCCAAGGTTTCAATTTATACCCTGTGAATTGGCAAAAATAACAAAAAATGGCAATAGTCAATGTCAGAGGAGTTATGGGAAAGTGGGCGCACTAATACATTGTTGGTGAAGTTGTGAAGTGGTACAACCATTTTGTAAAACAGTTTGGAATTGTGTAAATAAAGTGGCTAAAATGTCTATACTCTTTGACTCTATTACTGGGCTTATAATCTCAAGGAAGACACTGATAAAAAATCCTCATATATTCCAAAATATTCACAACAGCATTTTTTGTGATAGCTAAGAATTGTAAACAAAGTAGATGCCTATCAGTTGGAAAATGGTTAAATAAATTATGGTATATGAATATAATAGAGTACTTACTACTCTGCTATAAATTCAAGCCATTATCACACCAAACATAGTGTGGCACAGAGGAGGATACTTTTGGTGAAAAGCATAATTGGTTTAGTGGGGTTTTTTTGGGGGGGGTCCTAGGTGAAGAAGTAGGACAAATAACTAAAATTAATATGGGTCTAAATCAGAGTAGTCTATATAATTAGCCTATGTAATTTAAACTATGAAAAAAAAACAAGCAGGAATAAAAATGTATTTTGGCATTGCCTTGAGCCCAGAGGTCAAACTTTAGGGTCAAAGTGCTTTGTTGGGGGTGTCTTGGGATGGATAGCACCATCGTCAGAATTTCACAGTGAAATTGTCTAATACCATGGCCCTTCAGTCTTCAATATACCTAGCTAGTGGGAGAAACCACCATAGAAGTGAAACCTGTAGTTTATAAAGTCTCTGCCTTATTGTCAAAAAGATGAAATATTCTATTTTAAAATGTTCTTAAAATGCAACTGAGGTGCCCCTTGAAATCTGAGTAAAGAAAGGTTTGGCTTTTTTTTTTTTCCTAAATCACATACTTAATACTCTTTGCAGAAATAGAACTTTCCTTGTACAAGGTAGCCTAACTGTTTCTTTTTGTTTTCCTTTCTACAGGCTTCTGTATTGTTTCTCTTTGGAATTCTTGTTGGGACTTTGAGTTTTGCACTAATCATTTTCGAGTGGATTAATAAATAAAAGAATCATCCTTAACTTCTACAAAACAATTTATTAGTGGGTTTCCAGGGAGACATGTGTATTGTCACAGAGCTCAGTTGATGATGGACTGTAGAAGAAATATTATTGCATTTGTTGTTGTTGTTTAGTCATTCAAATGTCCAGCTTTTCTTGGCAAAAATACTGGAATGGTTTGCCATTTTCTTCTCCAGTGTGTCCCCATTTTACAGATGAGGAACTGAGGCAAATAGAGGTTAAGTGACTTGCCCAGGATGACACAGGCAATAAGTTCCTGAGGCCAGATTTAAATTCAGGTCTACCTGACTCCAGGCCTGGTGTTCTGTCCACTGTACCACCTAGCTGCCCCTATTATTGCAATACTACTTTCAGTTGTTCAGCCAGTGTTGGAAGAGCGTGTTTTCTTTTACAGGAGAACTTCCTTACTCCTAGAGGTCACTACTTTTGAAGTGATTTAATAGAGATGACCTAGAATAAATCAGTCATCTTGTAAGAAAAGAAAGCATACTTTCAGTCTTAGCAAGAGTTTGGTAAAATAATAACAGCTTGACATTTTTATAGTGTTTTAAAGTTTACAGTCTACTTTACATCTGTTATCTCATTTGATCCTCACAACATCCCTGTGAAAGAGAGACTGCACTTTACAAATGTAGAAACTGAGGTTCCGTAGGGTAAAATGATTTGCCAAAGATCAGACAGCTGGTAAATTAAAACCACAATTTGAACCTAGATTTTCTGACTACAAATTCCTTTTTACATTTTATCATGCTGCTTCTTCACAATCCAATGAGATTGCAATATATTTGAATTCAAGAACTCTGTCTGCTGTTTCTTGTATCTTTCTTAGTGCTTAGCACAGCACTAGACACAGTACTCTGGAAATACTTGCTTATTGATCAGTTATAAGAGGGTAGAATCAAAATTAGCGTACAAGCTAATAATATGTCTTATTAAATAGACTGTGAGGCCTATTGGATTTGGATCATGGAAAATAACCAATATTATTTCTTATTATATTGTACTATAGTAATACTCCTTGAGACTAGTCAGCATTTCCATTACAAATACTTGTTTTCTAAAACCTCAATTTGGTTTGAACTGCCTTTCAGGGTATTTATGTTCTGACTCCATAAGCCATTTTGTGTTTACACCCCTATTAGAGAAAAAAAAACTTTCTAGTTATATTCCTAAAGCCCACAGTAGGGAACTTTAATCTGTTTGGATCTAATTATGTGCTGCTGTTCGATTCAAAAATCCCATTAAAGCCATTACGTGTTTATGCCTTCTATAAATCCAGACTTAGGCCTGTTGTGACAGCTGATAAAATTGCTCCCCAACTCATCAGCAAGCCAAGAGAAGTGAATGCATCATTAGCAACAAAGAACTTGTTTCACCATTCCCATAGTTATTCCTCTTCTATTTTAAGTTGAAAATGTGTACCCAAACGAAATCCACCCACATTCAACTTGTTTTCCTAGTTTCTCCTTTACTAGTTTTCATTTTTAATAACTTGGATTGAGTAGTCATTATTTAAGAGGCATGAGTTTTTAGTAAATGTAAGAGAAAAGCTGTTTCATTATGGCTTTTGGTGAAAGAATGGTTGGAAATCATAAGTCATGTGATCCTAGCACTGGAAAGAACCTTAGAATCAAAGTTTTGGAACCAGAAAACACTTTAGAGATTACCTGATCCAACCTTTCATTGATGTAGCTAAAATAATTGATGAAACAACTTAAGGTATTAAACGATTAATTGTCCTCCATGGTAGGATTCTTTTCACTGCACCACAACCTTTGCTTCTACATCAACAGAGTTGGATTGATGAAAAACTTTAGGGGGTGTGGTGAGGAACTACCAGAGACAGCACACTCAACAGCTTAAATAGCTATATCAGTATTATCTTCATCACATTCTTGATATTTTGTTGTAAGATGTTGCAGGACCTCAAGCACCAAAGTGATGCTCTGTTATGGTGCGGTTTCCCTGGACAGAAAATGCATGGCAGTGAGTCACAAGCATGGCAACCACAGACAAAAATGTGGATACAAAATCACCACTAGAAATGAAGAAACTGGCAAATTTCTGGGAGACAACAGAAAACAAAAGCAATACCCAGCCAGTCATAACAAAATCATTAATCTTTAGTACTTTAAACCCTATGCATCTTAAAACCTTTGTGTCTTCACTGTGATGTCAGGATGAAGCGATCCTTTTCTTTACCAAAGCTAACCCCTCTCTTCACCTATGTCACCTTGATCACATCCTGTTCCATCACATCTGTGACCTTGCTCCATAACTCATTTCTTTAGCGCTACAACAAGATGACTGAATGAAAGGCTGCCAATACACCCAATTTTTCCCTTCTAAAAACAACAGCCAAGAGGTAAGGGAGCCCCCAAAGAAACTTAACAGTTGAGACTGAGGAAATGAGCAAGCTAAGAAGAATTTTGCAATGAAGAAAAGCTATGGGTTAAAGTAATCCTGGGATAAAATTCTAGAAGAGAAGAGTAATTCTGCCTTGACTGTATGTAGAAACCCATAAACGAGAATAGAATGAACAAAAAACCCCAGAGAGGTTAGAAAACCTAATAAAAGAATTGAAGAAAAATTTATACATAAAGAAGAAACTAAGAGTTTTTGAGGGTTTCGACGTTTATGCCAATGCTCCCTCAAGCTCCCTAACCTTCCAATTCCTCAGTATTCTTAAATCACATGACCTCTCACTCCACCTACTGCATACCTAGGAAAAGTCACACCCTGGATCTCACAATTACCAACCAGTGTTATGCTTCCTTAATCAAAAACTGACATTCCTCTGTCAGCCTTAACCTATCATTCCATTTATATCTCATCACTCCCAAACCTATTATTCATCTTCAAATTCCAGTCACTCTACCCCACATTACCCCTGCTCTGACTTTTTTCCTTTTCCATTCTCAAACAACTCAACTTTACCCTGCCCTCTACTCACACATTCATCCACCTCCCCACCTCGTCCTCTAACCATTCATCTTTTGTGAATCTCAATCCTGGTTTATTGCTATCATCTGCCACCCTCATTTTTACATGCTGCTGAATGGAGCTGGGAGGTGTCACAACTCTGTTAACTAGGCTCACCATAAATTCAATTATCTAACTTCAACTACACTCACAGCAACAAGGCAATCCTTTTATTCCTCTCTGCAAAGCTATTTCAAACTTTAAAAAAAATTCTATTTTCAGTTCCAAATTCTTTTCTTCCCTCAACTTCCTCCCCTACCCATTGAGAAAGCAAGAAATACAATACCCATTATACATATGATGACATATAAAACATTTCCAGATTAGTCATGCTGCAGGGGGGAAAGGAAAGAAAAATTAAGAGAAAACAAAAACACTCTAATCTTCACTCAGTCTATTAGTTCTGCATTTGGATAAAGGATAGTATTTTTCATCATGAGTCTTTTGGAAATGTCATGTCAATTATATTGATCAGAGTTGCTCATCTTTCACAGTTGATTATTATTACAATATTGCTGTTACTATGTACCTTGTTCTTCTGATTGTGCTCAGTTCACTTTGTATCAGTTCATATGTCTTCCCAGGTTTTTCTGAAACCATTCTCTTTGTCTCCAACTTCCTTCCCCTAACCTCTCATACCTCTTGCCCCTTTCAGCTGACTGTGCTTCTTATATTACTATAAAAATTTGGGCTATTTAAAATGTGCTCCATCTTCCCCTTATTTTTATTGTTCTCAAAACTGCTTGATACCAACCCCCAATCTCTCAAAGTCTCTTGAAAATGATGTGGTCCTTTACCTCTCCAAGGGCTGACCTTGGAGAGGGTACATGGGTGAATGTACCCTTGTTCCCATTCTCTCCTGTCTTTTCCAGCAGATTTCATCTTCAGTGATCCCCTATCTCTAATCTTCAACCTCTCCTATTTCCTGCTTCCGTTTCCTCAATCTTTAAAAAGAATTTTCATTAGACTACCATTCCCACAAACTTGTGCTATATACATCTTCCTTTTCTCAGCCAAACTCCTAGAATAAGCTGTCTACATTTGTAGCCTTCACTTCTTCCACTCCTCAACTTTACAGTCTGTCTTCTGACCCTATCACTCTACTGAAACTTCTCTCTCTATATGTGTATGTGTGTATACATATATATATATATATACACACACACATACATATATATATATATATGCCATAACTTGCTCACCCAATCCCCAATTTGTGTCCAATTTTATGCTACAAGAAAAAGAATTGCTATAAATAGTTTTGTGCATATGAATCCTCTCCCTCTATCTTTGATCTTTTCAGTATATAAGCCTAATAGATGGCTTACCGGCTATGCACTGTTTAGTAACTTTTAGAGTGTAATTCCAAGTTGCTTTCCAGAATGCTGGACCAATGCAGAACTTTTCTAATAGTGCATTAGTGTGCCTTTTTTCCTTGTAACTTCTACATCTATCATTTTCCTCTTTGCCATTCTGTTGGCTATGGAGTGGCATCTCAGAGTTTGTCTCCTCATTTCTCACCTGACTGCACTACTTTGATACTTCACTGACTTCCATCTTGTCCCAAGAAGCTCATTATTGGGAAAATTTCATCATCCTGCAGGATCCCATCAACTTTAGGATTCTGCCTTCTCTCCATCTTCTGTCCCTCTGATTGGAAGGTGAAGCCATGAACTCTAAAACTTCCGTTTAAGGAGGGAGCCCAGGTCAGAACGTCTCATTTCTCGCTAGATGCACTACTTTAGGACTTCTCTGACATTTCCGCCATGTCCCCATCTGTTTTCCTTTTCCTTCCCTCCCATTCCTCCTTTCAGCTTCCTTTTATGTGTTCTTTTCTTCCATTAGATTGTAAGCCACTTGAAGGCATGGACTGTCTTTTTTTCTTTCTTTCATATTTGTATCCTCAGTGCTTTAAGTATAGTACTTTCCACGTAGCAGGTACTTAATAAATGTTTATTGACTGACTTGCTTTTCTCTAATTATTACTGATTTGGAACATTTTTTTTCATATCACTATT